CAGTGTGCATAGGAATTCATTCATGTTTTTTTTTCAATTATAATCCGGCCCTTCAACAGTTTGAGGGACTATGACCTGGCCCTCTGTTTAAAAGGTTTGAGGACCCCTGCTTTACACAAATGCAACAGGAAACAATGCTGCTGTTGAAATCTCGTTTCCTCAGATACTGATTATAATATTTTAGTCCAAGATGAAGGCACTTGAAGCTCTTCACAAGTGGTAAAACATCCATCATCCTGTCAGCTACAGTTAAGGAGAGGGGTGAAGTTTCCCAACATTCATCTTTAATGACTTCAGCAATTTCCTTCCACGTGTTGTCCACATTATTCCCTGACCAAGGAAAGTTCTGTTTGATGCTTTCCCTGAAACGTCTGCAGTTCTCTTTGTGGTGCCAGGAGCCTGTGGTGGCTCCTTAAAGCCTTGAGCTGCCCAATACCATGTTATTTACTTTGAGTGTTTGCTTCATATGTAGACAAGGTGACTTGGACAAACACAACATCCAAGGCTGCATTCACTGGGTCCCAGCTGTTAAATCCTGTTTAGCACTGTTCCAAACTGAACTTCCTGTCTATCCACATAATTTACCAGAATTATGACTCCAGATTCAAAAATCAGAATCTAATATTCAGATACTGTTATACTTTATTCTTAAGACACATTTCTAGCCCTTAAGCAACCAAGATAAGTGCAACAGTGTGTGAGCAATGCCTGCTGAAATTATAAGAGGGAGTGAATGATGGTGCATCAAATGCCCCCTATAACTCTTATCAGATAACAAGGGGCTAACAGAAGTAGGATATGTTTATTTTCCTCATCTTTTAAAATATTTTATATTCTCTTGTATAAGTCTAGAAATTTTAACCAGTAACCAACCCCAAAAACCTGGGTTGGCATCGCCATGTGTCACAAGAAATTCAATGTGCAGATTTGACAAATATGAATGTAATAATTATGTGTGGGAATGAATGGAAGAATGGAAGGATGTATGAATGAAGCTAATAATTTTTGGAAACACCAGTATGATATTAAGGCCTGCAATGACTAACTACCTGCTTGCTGCTTTGTGATTAAAACCTGTTAATGAGATCTGAAGAGTGAACTGTCGTGAACCAGACACCTTAAAGGAGCCAGACACAAGTAAAAGGTCCAAACAAGGTTTATTAATGTAACAAAAATGGCTTAGAAACACTTAACTCAGTGTATCTAGCAAGAAAACAAAGTCTGTAGCAAACTGCTATGCAAAAACGTAACTTAGTAAATAATCCGGATTATACTGGAATATAATTCGGAATAACAAAGAGTTCAAGCAAACTGCTCCAAAGTCACAGAGTTCTCAAAACACAAAGTAACAAGGTGGAAGCAAGCAAAAACGTAGTCAGAAAACAGTCCCAGGTGGAGGCACGTCCAAAAGCAGAAGTTTAGGTCCAAAACACGATGTCGTCGTCCAAAAACAATCCGGAGTCAAAAGGGAGGTTGAAGTCAGCACTTACGAAATTCCAGTCAGTAGAAGCACGGAAACACAGCAATCTGCAGTCCCAGGACCCAAGGCAAGAGTAATGGCAGCAACAAAGTCCCAAGCCCGAATACAACACTTTGCCTACTGCAAAGTCCCCGAAGTTTGATACCTTCTTTTATCCTATAACTCATTATTGGATGATGAGCTGCTCTCCACCCTGTCCTCATCACTCTCAGCAGATTTAGCTTCTACAGCTGCTCGCCACCGCCCGTCCCTCCAACTTTTCCAGCGTTTATCAAGACTTAGATCACCCCAAGTATTACCAGGTTGCCAATCTCCAGAACATAAGCTCAACACCAATCAAGAAGATCAACATCTGACCAGGAAACTGAGATGGAGCCAGGATGGAAGATGTCTATCATTCAATTTACAACTTTGGGACTACATCAACAGAATATTCCTATAAAAGACTCAGTCTAATAATGCTCAAATTGTGACCGACCTGAGGAGTCTGGTTCACCCACTATGCTCTGCTCCATGGGAAGGAGAGAGATAGTGTACCTATGGATAGTGGCAGATTTGCTGCATGGGAGCAGTCTGGTCACTTTGGGGCTTCTTTCTCAAGGGAAGAGGAAGAAGTGCGCTTTTGGAGTCTTAGATTTTGTGCAGGGAGTCAGGTTCTGCTGTATGGAAAACAGAGATCTGGTCCTTGGCATTGTGCTTAGGGAAGAAGTTTTGGCATTTCAGCATTTTGAAGTTATAGTGTTATGGAGGTTATGGAACTATACTTTGGCAGGCTGCAGGAGAGCAGGGTCTGGCCTAAGAGGTGCTTCTCCAAGGAGGGAGAAAATGATATGGTAATATTTGGATGCATGTGGATGAATGCGTGTACATGTGTGTGAATGTTGAGTGAAAATGTAATTCCCCTTTGTTTGTTTGTTAACCAATGTAATTGTAAATCCAATGTAGTTGCATAGAATCTGTATGTCTGTATGTCCAATGTACTGCAGATGCAGACTGTGGCCAGGAAATCAGAAGACGCTTACTTCTTGGGAGGAGAGCAATGTCCAATCTCGATAAAATAGTAAAGAGTAGAGACATCATACTGGCAACAAAGATCCGCCTAGTCAAAGCCATGGTATTCCCTGTAGTAACCTATGGATGTGAGAGCTGGACCTTAGGAAGGCTGAGCGAAGGAAGATAGATGCTTTTGAGCTGTGGTGTTGGAGGAAAGTTCTGAGAGTGCCTTGGACTGCGAGAAGATCCAACCAGTCCATCCTCCAGGAAATAAAGCCCGACTGCTCACTGGAGGGAAGGATACTAGAGACAAAGTTGAAGTACTTTGGCCACATCATTAGGAGACAGCAAAGCCTAGAGAAGACAATTATGCTGGGGAAAGTGGAAGGCAAAAGGAAGAGGGGCCGACCAAGGGCAAGATGGATGGATGGCATCCTTGAAGTGACTGGACTGACCTTGAAGGAGCTGGGGGTGGTAACGGCCGACAGGGAGCTCTGGCGTGAGCTGGTCCATGAGGTCACGAAGAGTCGGAGATGACTGAACGAATGAACAACAATGTCCAATGTCATTCTTTGTCTAAATGTTTTCTGTAATCTGATACACCTTCTCACACTGAAAATTGTGAGAAGAACCTATGCTACAAAGTCATTGAAAAGTCATTTAGAGCTCAAAATGGCCAAGGACCTTTATATCTTAGGGACCGCCTCATGCCTTTTCTCCATAAGTGATCACCTCGATCCACCCAGGAAAATCTCCTATACATACCGGGCCCTAGGGAGGTACACCTGGAAGCTACAAGGAGTAGAGCTTTTTCGACCTATGCTCCAATTCTGTGGAACTCATTGCCTCCATATATTAGAGCAATGTCGGAGTTGCGATCTTTTGTAAAGGCGCTCAAGACTTGGCTGTTTGGTTGTGCATTTAAGTAAAGTGATCAGATCTAATTTGCCAAATAGTCACTGTTGAATGTTTTTATGTTGAATGTTTTTATATTGTGTAAATGCTATTTTAAATTGTAAGTCGCTCGGAGCACCTTGGTGGAGAGCGACTAATTAAGAAATAAAGTGAAGTGAAGTGAAAAGTCATGACACATGGGCAACTGTAACTACTTGTAACTATGTTCCTTAACTCTTATCAAAAAAGGAACCACCCTCTTCTCTGACTAGAATGATGAAAGGTTTTAACAGGACAAACTAAGCTCTAATCTAAGAGAGAAGCACTGACCCATCAACTCTCTCTGCTGTCATGGACTTTCCTTTATTTGTGTAATGATCCTCAGCTTATCCACACATCGTATCAAATGCCATAGTTTTGGCCCCCAAACCTGCCCTCGACTTACACACGAGGTTGACTTCACACAAATACATACAGTACTTGCAGAGGAATCCTGTCCTGTTTTCGCATCAAAGAACGTCATATTTCAAAATATTTCAATACTAGCCATCCCCTGCCATGCATTGCTGTGGCCCATTCTGGAGATCTGGAAAATAAAGTAATGAGGAAGTGTTGGTTTCTAATAATTTATTTATGCTTGCAGGTAAACAGTATTTCTTTTTGTTTCTTTGTCAGTGTTGATGTGGAAATTATCTGGTTTGCCTACTCTAGAACATGCAACATAGAATTGTGCCCTTTCAAATCTATGGTACTATATCTGTGTGTGTGTGCGAATCATATATATCTATCTATATCTATGGCTGGATGGCTCTTTGTCAGGAGGGCTTGGATTACGTTTTCTTGCCCTGGTGAAGGGAATTGGACTTAAGTATTTTCTGTTGGTCATGGGGGTTCTGTGTGGGAAGTTTGACCCAATTCTGTCGTTGGTGGGGTTCAGAATGCTCTTTGATTGTAGGTGAACTATAAATCCCAGTAACTACAACTCCCAAATGTCAAGGTCTATTTCCCCCAAACTCCACCAGTGTTCACATTTGGGCATATTGAGTATCTGTGCCAAGTTTGGTCCAGATCATCACTGTTTGAGTTCACAGTGCTCTCTGGATGTAGGCGAACTACAACTCCCAAACTCAAGGTCAATGCCCACCAAACCCTTCTAGTGTTTTCTGTTGGTCATGGGAGTCCTGTATGCCAAGTTTGGTTCAGTTCCATCATTGGTGGAGTTCAGAATGCTCTTTGATTGTAGGTGAACTATAAATCCCAGCAACTACAACTCCCGAATGACAAAATCAATTTGTTGAGTGATGGTCACTCCTTGGGTTAGTAGGTGTCTTGTAGCCTAATTTGGTAATTCATCCAGTGGTTTTTGAGTTATGTTAATCCCACAAACGAACAATACATTTTTATTTATATAGATTTCAGAGACACACTGGGCCTGCTACTGTGGCCCTTGCACTATCCGTTTCCCAAGCATGCATTCTCCGCATGTGAGGTACTACCAACCCCATCATCCAAGATACTAAGAGTCCTCTATATTACCATGTTATAATAGTAATTGGTTTGATGCTTCTCTCCACAGGCATTATGTAATGAGGCTGCTGATAGATGTGTAACCTCTCCTCTTACTCTCCAACAGACAATGTGCACTTTCAGCTCTTCGGGATGTTAAAACTTACCTGAGTTTGGAAGAGGGGCAAGTTGCGGTATGAGGGCAAAGTCTTTATGGAAATTTTGCATATTTTTATTGCTTCAGAATGCATAAGGTTCAGCTGCCTCCCTCTCTATCCTTATCTTAGGTTTTCGATGCCACTAACACCACACGGGAACGGCGCGCCCTCATTCTCCAGTTTGCTAAGGAAAATGGATACAAAGTAAGTGACAAAATAAACCGCTCCGAAACACGAGTGGTAGCTTTTCTTTGCCGGAAGCTCTGTGTGAAGGAAACATAAACTACATTAAACAAACCGGGGGGGATCTCTGGTTTTGCATGCCATTGCCATTATTATATTGCAGTTATCAAAAAAGTTGGAATGTTGTTTGTTGAAAGTAGGATGGGGAAGTGGGATAGGGAAAGACAACATAGGATGGGGAAGTGGGATAGGGAAAGATAACATAGTCTGGCCACAGTGGTCCACGCTCTTGTTACATCCTGAATAGACTACTGCAACGCACTCTACGTGGGGTTGCCCTTGAAGACTGTTCGGAAACTTCAACTGGTCCAGCGAGCGGCAGCCAGACTACTCACCGGAGCGTCATACAGGGAGCACACCACCCCCCTGCTGTGTCAGCTCCACTGGCTGCCGGTTCAGTTCCGAGCACAATTCAAGGTGCTGGTTTTGACCTACAAAACCCTGTACGGTTCCGGTCCAGTGTATCTGTCCGAACGTATCTCCCTCTACGTCCCACCCCAGAGTCTGAGATCATCTGGGGAGGCCCTGCTCTCGACCCCACCGCTATCACAAGTGAGGTTGGTGGGGATGAGGAGCAGGGCCTTCTCGGTGGTGGCCCCTCACCTGTGGAACTCACTCCCGGGAGAAATTAGGGCATCAACATCCCTCCTCTCCTTCAGGAGGAAAGTAAAGGCCTTTGGGCAATCTGACAACTAGATAAGGACAATCAAACGACTAGGACTGACAGGACTGACAATGTGGAATTGGAATTTGGACTATGAGATAGCGAACGCTGACCGTCTATGAGGAGTAATTGGGTTTGTATTGTTTTATTGGTTTTATTGGTTTTAGGGTTGTAATGCAGGAATTGTTGTTTAACTGTTCAACTGTTTAATTGATGTTATTTTGTTTTACTACTGTTATGTGATGCTGGCATCGAATTGTGCCTTTGTAAGCCGCCCTGAGTCCCCTTTGGGGTGAGAAGGGCGGGGTAGAAGAAACTGAAATAAATAAATAAATAGTACCTTCTGTCTCATTAATAAAGGTTTCCCCTTGACATTATGTCTAGTTGTGTCTGACTCTGGGGGTGGTGCTCATCTCAATTTCTAAACCAAAGAGCTGGTGTTGTCCATAGACACCTCCAAGGTCATGTGGCCAGCATGATTGCATGGAGTGCCATTACCTTCCTGCAGAAGTGGTCCCTATTGATCTACTCATATTTGCATGTTTTCGAACTGCTAGGTTGGCAGAAGCTGGGGCTAACAGCAAGAACTCACCCCGCTCCTCAGATTCGAATTGCCAACTCTTTGGTCAGCAAGTTCAGCAGCTTAGCAATTTAACCCTCTGAGCCACCAAGGAGCCTGTCTCATTAGCACTATATTGTTTTTACAGATGCTGCTTGCACATTGCACATATTGCTGCAAAGCACAGTATTTTTTAAAAAATCATGGTTGGCATTCTACCACTTTCACTTTGGATGATATATTACTGTCTCGTTCACAGGTCTTCTTCATTGAATCTATTTGTGATGACCCAGACATCATCCAGGAGAATATCACAGTAAGGTTTTTCCTCTCTTTGCCACAGATCAATCTTCTTGGTAATGCTTAATTTCAATATGAGACATCCATCCTGCATAGAAGCTATACTCTATTATTCTTAGAAAGCCCTTCCTCCCATCCTAAATTGTTGCAGGAGGAAACACATTAGTAGCCAGGGATGTGCTCTGGTGGCGCTTAGTGATGTTCAATTACTTTACAAATTTCAATAAGCGGCTTTGGCATCAGCCTTGGGCTTAGCCAACTCCAAATACTCAAGCACTGTGTCAAACTAAGCATAGCTTCTAAGCCAGTGTTTCCTAATGCCACAACCCCTTAATACAGTTCCTCATGTTGTGGTGACCCCCAACTATGAAATTATTTTTGTTGTTACTTCATAACTCTAATTTTGCTACTGTTATGAATCGTAATGTTAATAACTGATATGCAGGATGTATTTTCATTCACTGGACCAAATTTGGCACAAATACCCAAGACACCCAAATTTGAATACTGGTGGGGTTGGGGGAGGATTGATTTTGTCATTTGGGAGTTATAGTTGCTGGGATTTATAGTTCACCTATAATCAAAGCGACTTCTGAACTCCACCAACGATGGAATTAAACCAAACGGCATACAGAGCTCCCATGACTGACAGAAAATACTGGAATGGTGTGGTGGTCATTGACCTTGAGTATTGGAATTGTAGTTCACCCACATCCAGAAAGCACTGTGGATTCAAACAATGTATCTGAACCAAACTTGGCATGAATACTCAATATGCCCAAATGTGAACATTAGTGGAGTTTGGGAAAAATATATTTTGACATTTGGGAGTTGTAGTTGCTGGGATTTATTGTTCACCTAAAATCAAAGAGCCCCTTGAACCCCACCAATGAAAGAACTGGGCCAAACTTCCCACACAGAACCCCCATGACCAACAGAAAGTACTGGAGGGGTTGATTTTGTTAGAGAGTTGGAGTTGCTGCCAAAGGGGTTCCTCCCAACCCTACTATACGCCTGCGAGACATGGACAGTCTACAGCAGGGGTCCTCAAACTAAGGCCCGGGGGCCGGATATGGCCCTCCAAGTTCATTTCCCTGGCCCTCGCTCAAGTCAACCTAAGTCTGAAAGCATATAACAACAATCCTATCTCATCAGCCAAATCAGGCCCACACTTCCCATTGAAATACTAATATAGCCCGAAAAAACCTACAACAACCCAGAAATACTAATAAGTTTATATTTGTTAAAATTGTTCTTCATTTTAATTATTTGTTTTTAAGTGTTTTTTGCACTACAAATAAAATATGTGCAGTGTGCATAGGAATTAATTCCTATTTTTTTCAAATTATAATCTGGCCCTCCAACAGTTTGAGGGACTGTGACCCTCTGTTTAAAAAATTTGAAGACCCCTGCCTTAGACCATCAGAAATATGTGTTTTTAATGGTCTTTGGTAACCCCTCTGAACCCCTCCTCGCAACCCCCTCAGGGGTCTCAACCCCCAGGTTGAGAAACACTGTTCTAAGGCCTGATATGGTAGTGACTAAGGACCACTGCCACTATCCTTCTTTTAGCTAATCCTAATAGATAGCCAAGAAGCCTGGCTGTTAGCAGCAGCCTCCTTTTCTCACCTTGTTCTCTTGCCTATCCCCTCTCACAGCAAGTGAAACTAACTAGCCCTGATTATAAGGACTGCAACCGTGATGAAGTTGTGGGGGACTTTCTCAAGAGGATCGAATGTTACCAGAAAACCTATGAACCACTTGATGACGAACTGGATAGGTAACAAAGCAGTTCACTCTGCTCCTTTGTAATAACTGTCTGGCAAATGTAATATTTTTTCCTGTAAAAAAAAAATAGCTGGTGTAGCGAAATTGCTACTCTATGTTAAAGTTTTGGTGTATAGCTCTATGGTTACATATGGCATATAGGGAAGAATAGGCACAGACAGGGTAGCAACAGCAGAGATAGGATTCATTTGCATATGTGAAGCCGATTGGTCATATGCAGATTAGTGTAGGCCCAGGATTTGAAAAAGCTGCTAGGCCAAAATGACAGTTGGGGAGAGCAGAGCTAAACATTCCAAAGGGGTGGAGCCAAGGTTCTAAAAAAGGCAGTTAGAGTGAGGGAGTTTGAAAATGACAGTTAGGAATCTGTGTGTGAAGAAGAGAGTTGGTTTTTGAGTGCCTGATAGAAATAAGCAGTTATGAAGCTGTGTTAAAGACTTCTGATATAGTGAAGCAGTTAGTTAAATAGAGCTCGAGTTTTAAGGAACATAAAGAAGGCTAGTGTTGCCTTAGTTCAGAATATAATTCGGCCAAGAGTGTGTAAAGCAAGTAACATGTTTGTGAATGTGAAACATTGATAGTTTATTCAGAAAAGTTAACCAAGTAAATGATACTGACTGTAAGCCTCAAGATTGCAACAAAACACAAATGTAACCACAAGTGTTGGAGCCAGAAGTTATAAATAAACTGTGTTACTTCGTTATACACAAGAGTTTTATTGCCTGTGATATAAAGTACAAAGGTTTAACAGCATACGGAATGTCCCAGCCAATATAAAAGAAGAAACTGAATCAGTAAAAGGCAGCAAAGAGGTTTTTTTTAAAAGAGGAATTTGTCTCTCTCCCTCACCTCAGCTGGGATCTTGTTTGCTGATATCATAGAATCATAGAACCATAGAGTTGGAAGAGACCTCATGGGCCATCCAGTCCAACCCCCTGCCAAGAAGCAGGAATATTGCATTCAAATCACCCCTGACAGCCTCTGTTTAAAAGCTTCCAAAGAAGGAGCCTCTACCACACTCCGGGGCAGAGAGTTCCACTGCTGAATGGCTCTCACAGTCAGGAAGTTCTTCCTAATGTGCAGATAGAATCTCCTTTCTTGTAATTTGAAGCCATTGTTCCGCGTCCTAGTCTCCAGGGAAGCAGAAAACAAGTTCGCTCCCTCCTCCCTATGACTTCCTCTCACATATTTAAACATGACTATCATATCTCTTCTAAGCCTACTCTTCTTCAGACTAAACACGCCAGCTCTTTAAGCTGCTCCTCATAGGGCTTGTTCTCCAGACCCTTGATCATTTTAGTCACTCTCCTCTGGACACATTCCAGCTTGTCAATATCTCTCTTCAATTGAGATCCTAACTCTAATTGCAGTAATAAATGGAAGAATGTAAAACACATACCCTTTCTACATTTTTAGAAAGGCAGCACCCCAGCCAAAGGGGTTTTGAGGCACTGCAGAGGAGGATGCTGGGAAATGACAACTTCAGTGTTCTCTCAGCCACAAGGAGCATTAAAGAATAAGCACTTATGGCGGGATCCCAAGGGGACTTTCCAGTTTCCTGTTCTCAATGCACCCCATAATTGGAAGAGCACTGCAATGTGCCCCAATGTGCAGCTTCTCAGAAACTATTTGGTTGGAGTGCTGTTTGGATGCAAAAGTAAGCTCTTTTGGGTAAGAGGTAGCTATGGTGACAAAGCTCTGTTATGGTTATATCTTACAGTGCAAGATCTTGGCCCTCGTTTCTAGGTCAGACATCAGAAAAACATGGTGAAACATTTTTTAAGCAAAAAGCTGAAATGATATCTGAGCTTAGTAAACGATTGTCACACACCTGTTCTGTAAAGTAGCAGTGCCACATATAGCAAAGGAACTTCCTTCTACCTATTACATGTAAATCTGTGCAATGAAGCTCAGCATCAACACACAACAAAAAAATAGCTTTTTGAGAAATAGCAGGGAATACTTTCCCCATGCTATCCTCCTTCCACACAAACAAATCCTTCAAGCAGTTTTTTCTCATCCTCACCAAAAAAGTTCAAAATGCAGATAAACAAAGATGTGGAACTGAGTTGTTGTAGGTTTTTTCGGGCTATATGGTAATGTTCTAGAGCAGTGTTTCTCAACCATCCTAATGCCGCGACCCCTTAATACAGTTCCTCATGTTGTGGTGACCCCCAACCATAACATTATTTTTGTTGCTACTTCATATCTGTAATTTTGCTACTGTTGTGAATCGTCACGTAAATATCTGATATGCAGGATGTCTTTTCATTCACTGGTCCTACCCAATACACCCAAGTTTGAATACTGATGGAGTTGGAGGGAATGGATGTTGTCATTTGTGAGTTATAGTTGCTGGGATTTATAGTTCACGTACAATCAGTGAGCATTCTGAATGCAACTAATGATGGAAACTGAAGCAACCTTGGCACACAGAACTCCTATGACCAAGTAGAAAATACTGGAAGCGTTTGGTGGGCACTGACCTTGAGTTTTGGAGTTGTAGTTCACCTACATCCAGAGAGCACTGTGGACTCAAACAATAGTAGATCTGGACCAAACTTGGCACGAATACTCAATATGCCCAAATGTGAACACTGGTGGAGTTTGGGGAAATTGTATTTGGGAGTTGTAGTTGCTGGGATTTATAGTTCACCTACAATCAAAGTCCCTTGAACCCCACCAACGATAGAATTGGGCCAAACTTCCAACATAGAACCCCCATGACCAACAGAACGTACTGGAGGGATTTGGGATGAATTGACAGTGATTTAGGGGAGATGTAGTTCACCTTCCATCTTTCTGATGGGCATTTGGCGACCCCTCTGACACCCCCTGGTGACCCCCCCATGGGTCCCAACCCCCAGGTTGAGAAACACTGTTCTAGAGGCATTTTCTCCTGACGTTTCACCTGCATCTATGGCAAGCATCCTCAGAGGTAGTGAGGTCTGTTGGAACTAGGAAAATGGGTTTATATATCTGTGGAATGACTAGGGTGGGACAAAGAACTCTTGTCTGCTGGAGCTAGGTGTGAATGTTTCCACTGACCTCCTTGATTAGCATTTGATGGCCTGGCAGTTTTTTGGTGTGGCTTGTGGGTGCCTGGGGAAATCTTTTGTTGAAAGGTGTCCTTGATTGTTTCCTCTCTGTTGTTTTGCTGTTGTAATTTTAGAGTTTTTTAATACTGGTAGCCAGATTTTGTTCATTTTCATGGTTTCCTCCTATCTGTTGAAAGTGATTCCGGCCATGAAAGCCTTCGACAATACAAAGATGTGGAAGTTGAAGTAGGGAGCGAAGGATATATTAATATTTCTAGTGATGGAGTTTCATGTTTGTTTCCCCACAATTTCTTTATCTGAAATCCAGCAACTGACAGTGATTTTTAAGTACTAACTTTAAAGAGCTAGTGCTAAAGCTCCAATACATCTTTGTACATGCTAACACACAGCATTTGTAGAGGCTCTTGTTCAAGGTTTGAAATGCTTCAGGTCATCTCAATGATTGCCTTATGTTTATACAAACCGAGACAAATTATGAACTTGGGACAAACAGAACCCTTTTAGATTTTCAGATGCTGGTTTCCAGAATGGACTGTCACAGGGACCCTTCCAGCCTGTAAACCCAGTTCTTCTCCACACTCCTCCCCACAGCTCCCTATCCTACATCAAGATTTTTAACGTTGGCAGTCGGTACTTGGTGAACAGGGTCCAAGACCACATCCAGAGCCGCACGGTCTATTACTTGATGAACATTCACGTGACGCCTCGCTCCATCTACCTCAGCCGGCACGGGGAGAGTGAGCTCAACCTGCGTGGACGCATTGGGGGTGACTCAGGACTCTCTGAGCGTGGCAAACAGGTATTCTATATTTATTTACTTACTGTATTTATTACCTGCCCTTCTCACCCCGAAGGGGACTCAGAGTGGCCTTACAATAGGCAATAATCCAATGCCACATAAACAGACATAAAATAAAAACCTATATATGTTAAAACTTAAAATTTAAAAACATACTAGCTGTTCCCTGCCATGTGTTGCTGTGGCCCAGTCTGTTGATCTGGAAAATAAAGTAATGAGAAAGTGCTGGTTTCTAATATATGTAATTTCTTTATGCTTGTGGGTAAACAGTATTTCTTGCTATTTCTTTGTCAGTGTTGATGTGTAGATTGTTTGGGTTGCCTACTCTGGAACATGCAACATATAATTGTCCTTCTTTAGGGGTCCCTTTCAAATCTATGATACTATACCTGTGTGTGTGTGAATCATATCTATCTATATCTATGGCTCGGTGGCTCTTTGTCAGGAGGACTTTGATTAAGTTTTCTTGCCCCGGTGAAGGGAGTTGGACTAGATGGCCTTGAGTATTTTCTGTTGGTCATGGGGGTTCTGTGTGGGAAGTTTGGCCCAATTCTGTCATTGGTGGGGTTCAGAACGCTCTTTGATTGTAGGTGAACTATAAATCCCAGTAAGTACAACTCCCAACTGTCAAGATCTATTTCCCCCAAACTCCATCTGTTTTCATATTTTGGCATATAGAATATTCATGCCAAGTTTGGTCCAGATCCATTATTAGTCCATGGTAGTCTCTGGATGTAGGTGAACTACAACTCCCAAACTCAAGGTCATTGCCCACCAAACCCTTCTAGTGTTTTCTGTTGGTCATGGGAGTCCTGTATGCCCCAGTTGGTTCAATTCTATCATGCTGTTTGATTGTAGGTGAACTATAAATCCCAGCAACTACAACTTCCTATCTCTCTCTCTCTCTCTCTCTCTCTATCTATCTATCTATCTATGGCTGGATGGCTCTTTGTCAGGAGGACTTTGATTAAGTTTTCTTGCCCTGATGAAGGGAATTGGATTGGATGGCCTTAAGCATTTTCTGGTGGTCATGGGGGTTCTGTGTGGGAAGTTTGCCCCGATTCTGTCGTTTGTGGGGTTCAGAATGCTCTTTGATTGTAGGTGAACTATACATCCCAGTGACTACAACTCCCAAATGTCAAGGTCTATTTCCCCCAAACTCCATCTGTGTTCATATTTGGGCATATTGAGTGCTTGTGCCAAGTTTGGTTCAGATCCATCATTGTTTGAGTCCACAGTGCTCTCTGGATGTAGGTGAACTACAACTCCCAAACTCAAGATCAGTGCCCACCAAACCCTTCCAATATTTTCTGTTGGTCATGGGAGTTCTGTGTGCCATGTTTGGTTCAATTCCATAGTAGATGGAGTTCAGAATGCTCTTTGATTGTAGGTGACCTATAAATCCCAGCAACTACAACTCCCAAATGACAAAATTATAATTTTTTGAGTGATGGTCACTCCTTGTGTTGTGAGACGTTTTGTTGCCAAATTTGGGTTCATTGGTTCTTTTGTTTTTAAGGTACTCATTATGCACAAGGCATTTATATATATATATATATACACACACACACACACACACACACACACACACACACACACATTAAAATCCATTATTAAAAACCACAGAATCTTAGGAGGAAAAATCTATCATAGGTTTCTGAGCAGGGCAGCTGGTGGTCACCCCCTAATCAAATAGGACAGGAAATTTGGACTTAGGAGAGTTCCCAATCTTGAGGAAGCAGGAGGACAATGCCTCCTCTTTTGAATAAGCTTCTGTGAACCAGTTGTAGCACTGGTTTACTCCTCTTTTTACACCCCCAGTTCTACTAGAACTACTCTACCCAACAACTGGTAGAAGGAAATTAGCAAGACTCCTTACCAGCCTGTCACTTTGTCTCCTACATTTCCCCCCACTTTCAGCATATTCTAATCAGGAAGTGTTGGGAACAGGGTTATCCATATTTCACAAAAAGATTAACAGGAAAGAAAAGGCCTTGAGAGCCTTCACAGATTTTCTCTTGGTACCAAGTAGCAGCATTGGTAGTGGTTGTTTCTATTCCCAGAAGCCTTTTCCAAAGGGATAAGTATTTTTCTTTTCTTTTCTTTCCTTTGAGACAATTCAGGCAATAATCCTGGGTTGCATTTACAAATCTCAAAACTCATGGCAAAACTCATGTATTTTTTCCCCTTTTTTGTCTCTCTGCCTGCCAGTATGCCTGTGCCTTGTCCGGCTTCATCCGTTCCCAGTGTATCAATGACCTCAAAGTATGGACAAGCCACATGAAACGCACAATCCAGACAGCAGAAGCGCTGGGTGTACCCTACGAGCAGTGGAAAGCACTCAATGAGATAGATGCGGTGAGAACCAACATGCCATCTATAATGAAGTGCATGGAGAAGGCCAAGGAGTAGAGAAGGTTTTAAAATAATTTGAATTTATCAGACAGGGAAAGAAATAACTGTGTATAGATATATTTTAATGATGTCTGAACTGTGAGGGTTTTAAAAGGCCTCTTCAATTGGGTACGCTGTCACCTTATTGCTTAGTATTCAGGCCGAGTTATATGTGTGGAGAGAATACTTAGTAACACCCTTCTGTGTTACTATAATGTTTATTTTCTTCAGAGGGTTTAAGTACCAATGATGTTCACACACAGGCTGTTGTAATGTGTTAACTATAATAAAACGTTTATTTAACAGGCTTAAACTCTTCTGGTACAAATGCGTAATAGTTTCTGTAAGTTAATGGCACAAAAGCTTTTGGTTGCGTTTGATGTACAATTCTTAGTACTGGGTTCAAATCTAGAATTAACAAAGAGGAGATTATCTCAGGAAACTAATCTCTGATGATAATTCCAAACCAAATTCCCACTTTCTGGAATCTAGCCAAACAATATTGGCCTAGCCTTCCTCTGGAATAAAAGAAACATAAGCAAGGTCCTGTTCCCACTGTCAGTATTCCTGGCTAATTCCTCTAGCCCTTGAATACTACAAAAGATTAACCCAATTCTCCTATCTAGCACTAACTGTGAACACCAACCGACTACCTAACTCCCAACTGACAAATCCCAACAGCCAAAACTCAAGCCCCAAATTCAAAAAGTACACTTTTTTCCTCTATTGGAATGTTAGACTCCGCCCTTATTCTTAACCAATCCTGGCCATCTACTCTTTGTTTACTGGACTAGGACAAGCCCCCTCTAAGAAAACCTGATCTAAGATGGCGTCTCCCAGTTTCCCTAATCTAAAATGGCCACCAGGGCTTCGCTAGGCCCATCTTCCAACTGTTTAGGCCACTAGGCCTCGCTAGGCCTGCATTCTGGCTGCTAAAGGTAAGGGTTCTTCACACCATCCTAGTTCCCAAAATGGGAGACAGAGCCCAAGGTCCCACCTGTCGCTAACCTAGACCCATGAGTTCAAATCCTACTTTCCATCACATTGGCCAAAAGTGTCTAACATCTGTTCTTTGAGCCCAAACTTCACCCCTTGGAAGCTGGAAACAAAATGTGCACACTCCATCATTTCATATTCCTTCATCTGGCATAGCAACCTTTTCTTTGTCATGCAAGAACCCAATGTCTCACTCCCTTATATTTCAGGGTGTCTGTGAAGAGATGACATATGAAGAAATTCAAGACCATTATCCTGAAGAGTTTGCCTTGCGAGATCAAGACAAATACCGCTACCGCTATCCTAAGGGAGAGGTAAAATTGTTCAATAATTGTTCAATAAAGTTGAATTTGAGAACTGGACCTATTCAGTTAGCATGTGCACAAAAAAGTACTGTGGGATCTCACACATCAAGATGCTTCCCAAGAGGATACTTAACTAGTAAATTGTTTGGGAGGGGAGAATATGCAGCCTGGGAGAGAGCAGAGATACAAAAAGTAAGTTGTGGCAGAAGCCTATGGATTTATTTAATCTTCTCACCTAATTAGTCATATGAAGATTTGGTGCAGCGACTGGAGCCTGTCATAATGGAACTGGAAAGGCAAGAGAATGTCCTGGTGATCTGCCACCAAGCTATCATGCGTTGCCTCCTGGCCTACTTCCTGGACAAAAGTGCAGGTACCACAATCCACTCTTCTGTACTTGCATCTCTCACCCTTCCCAACTTATCCTTCCCATCTGATACGCTGTGTATGGACAGCAGTGTGGCTGTCTAAATTGTCTCAAGGGTTATCTGTCCTCAAGTTCAGCATTTTGGCTGTGGCATATCATGCACATATGTGGCCACTCACTCCGATGCTGGCTACATCTGACAGTTCAACAGTTGGATGGCTGTAGTTGGCCCACTCCAATTCCACAGACTCCATGTAGGAACTCAATAAGTAGCTGGGACCCTGAATCCCTTGTTCAGTCCTTCTTTGACCCATTTTGCTATTCTCTCCCTATCTAGAGGAACTGCCTTACCTAAAGTGCCCGCTCCACACAGTTCTCAAGTTGACGCCTGTGGCCTATGGTGAGTGTCTCATCCAAGAAGCACAAAATGCCCATTTTCATAAGGGAAAGCCTTCCATATGAATTTTATAAATCAAAGCGGCTTGCTTTGAGAAAAGCTGGAAGGCAATCGAACTCTGAACATTTCAGGAAGCTAGGACTGAGTGTTGCTCCCAAGTGCATCTACTTTTGAAGACAAAAAGTGCCAATTCAAACATGCCCCTTATAAAAAAAATGAGACTTTATTTGGGAAATAAAATCCCCAAAACACTGAACACCACTTAGAAATGTGGATTCTCTTAATTAAAAGCCAAAATAAAAAGCTGTAAGGAAAGCTGGAACTTTCTTCTGGCCGAAAAACCTTTTGGCTGCCACCAAACTTAAAAGCACTGATAAGCCCCTAGCTTACTTGAAGTATCTTAGGCAAGAGTGTGTTGGATTAGCCTTCAGGCTTGTGTTCTGAGGTAACACTAAAAGATTGTTCTTTAAACTATACGCTGCCACTATTAGTCCCCTGTTTGCTGCAGGAAACTGCTTTTAAAACTTCACCCAAAGAGGCACACGTGAGGCAGATGTTGTGAACAACAAAACAAAGATGTTTATTTAAGAGAACTGGAAGAATTCAGGTATAAAGCTTAGCTGTTTCAGAGTATTGACTTAAAAAGTGTGTGGTTACTTTAAGCAGTTCAGACTTAGTTTCACAGGAACACTTCTCTCTCCCTCCACAGAATTTACTAACAGGATTTCCTCTCTGAAAGTAATAGTCCAACCATGGATCTATCTCAGATAGTCCAACCATGGATCTATCTCAGATAGTCCAACCATGGATCTATCTCTACTCCTCCTCCACCAGCTATTTCCCTAATAGCTGTAGAAATCCTCCCACTAGCTATCTCTGCTAGCCAACTGATCAATTTCAGGCCACTCTCACGAACCCTTCATCACTCCTAACTCCCAGCTCCTCCTTCTTTGACACCCACAGTCAATCTCTCTTGACACCCAGATTCAATCTCCCTCACAGGGTTTCAAAACCTTCCCTTAAAGTCATTTTTTTTCTTTTGCCAAGTTATGCTCTGCCCACTCTCACTCAGCCAATTATAGTCTTCCCTCATTTCCCTCCAAAGCTGCTCTTTCTAAACATGCCCCCTTCAGGAAATGAGTAACTAAAATCGATTCCACCGGCACCCTTTCCAAAATGGGCCTACTTTTCTAGGCTTTTCCTAGCCTAACAGGTAGGGAATTTACTACACCCTCTCCAAGGTGTTTGGAATTTGTTCCTCCTCCAAGTTCAGCATTTTGACTGTGGCATATCAAGCAGATTCTTCTCTCTCCCAACAATACATTAATTCAAAGTGATTTGAAAGCTTGTTGAAAGAGCAAAAATAGATAGCTTGAAGTCAGATACTAAGTTCCTGACTAGAGCAATTACTAGTTTCTTTCAAATTAGTTTCAAGAAGTGTATGAACTGAGAAAGTGAACAGTGGTGTGTTTGATACTTCCTTCTAACATTTGTTAATAATGCATTTGTCTGTTTGGGGACAGGTTGCGAAGTTGAATCCATTTTCCTCAACATTGAAGCTGTGAATACACACCGGGAACGTCCTAAGGCAAGTAGAATTCCTACGCTGTTGAATAGGATCCTTTCCTGCAGATCCTAATTGAAAGGGTCTGCAGTAGCTCTCATTAGGAGTTCCGGGCATCTATAATCTATATAAATAAAAATGTAATGTTCATTTGTGGGATTAACTCAAATGCAATGTTTGTGGGATTAACTCAAAAACCACTGGATGAATTGACACTAAATTTGGACACAAGACACCTATCAGGCCAACGAGTGACCACCACTCATAAAAACACTGAAAAGCACAGCAGAAGGGACTTTAAAAGCAAAAAAAAAAACACCCCATTACAACGCATGCAAAAAACCACGTATATATACACAAGCACACATATATGCATATACACACACAAAACATATACACAGAAAGGAGGAAGGAAGGAAGGAAGGAAGGAAGGAAGGAAGGAAGGAAGGAAGGAGAGAAGGAGGGAGAGAAGGAAGGAAGGGAAGGGTAGAGAAGGAAGGAAGGAAGGAGAGAAGGAGGAAGAGAAAGAGGAAAGGAGAGAAGGAAGGAAATAAAAAAGGGTAGAGAAAAAAGGGTAGAGAAGGAAGGAAGGAAGGAAGGAAGGAAGGAAGGAAAGAAGGAGGGAAGGAGATGAAGAAGGAAAAAAAGAAGGGGGAAAGAAGGAAGGAAGGAGATGAAGAAGGAAAGAAAGAAGGGTAGAGAAGGAAGGAAGGAGAGAAGGAGGGAGAGAAAGAGGGAAAGAAGAAGGGAAAGAAGGAGGGAAGGAGAGAAAGAAGGAAAGAGAGAAGGGTAGAGAAGGAAGGAAGGAGAGAAAGAAGGAAGGAGAGAAGGAGGGAGAGAAGGGAAGGGAAGGAGAAAGAAGGAAGAAAAAGGGTAGAGAGGGAAGGAAGGAGAGAGAGGGGGAGAAAGAAGGAGAGAAGGAAAGAAAGAAAGTTAGAGAAGGAAGGAAGGAGAGAAGAGGGAAAGAAGGAAAGGGAAGAGAGGAAAGGAGAAAGAAGAGAGAGAAGAAAGGAAGGAGAGAAGAGGGAGAGAAGAAAAGAAAGAGGGAAAGAAGGAGAGAAGAAGAAAGGGAGGAGAGAAGAGGGAAAGAAGGAGGGAAGGAGAGAAAGGAGGAAAGAAAGAAGAGTAGAGAAGGAAGGAAGGAGAGGGAGAGAATGAAATAAGTGAAAGAGGGAAGGAAGGAAGGAGAGAAGGAATGAAAGAGAGGAGGAGGGAGAGAAAGGGTGAAAGAAGGAGGGAAGGAGAGAAAGGAGGAAAGAAAGAAGAGTAGAGAAGGAAGGAAGGAGAGGGAGAGAATGAAATAAGTGAAAGAGGGAAGGAAGGGAGAGAAGGAATGAAAGAGAGGAGGAGGGAGAGAAAGGGGGAAAGAAGGAGGGAAGGAGAGAAAGGAGGAAAGAAAGAAGAGTAGAGAAGGAAGGAGAGAAGGAGGGAGAGAATGAAATAAGTGAAAGAGGGAAGGAAGGAGAGAAGGAATGAAAGAGAGAAAGAGGAGGGAAGGAAGGAAAGAGACAAGGAAGGATGGAACCAAAGAGCAAAGGAAGCGAGAAAAGAAACAGGTAGAGAAGGAAGAAAGAAGAAGGGAAAGAAAAAGAGGGAAGGAAGGAAAGATGGAGGGAAGGAAGGAGAGAAAGAAAGAAGGAGAGAAAGAGGGAGTGAAGGCTGGCCACAGTAACGTGAGACCATTAGGTGTAATGAGCTTTGCTTCCCAGCAAGAACTATCATCTTCATGCCTAACCCTCCCTGCTCACCTGTGAGTGGACCACCCAGTAGAAAAAAATTACCATGTTCAAGGTCACCTCTATAGCTCCCGCTGAAATATTTTCCTCTTATCTCCCATCTCCCCCCGAACACTCAGCATCTTTCCCACAAAGCTAGCCAGGCCCCCTTGAACCGGCATTTCCGCGCCGTGCCAATGGCTAGCCCTGAGCCAACCAAACAACCCTGCCGGGAAGACTTGGGCCTGCCCCCTCCCCCTTGCCTGTTTGACCTTCAGGTAATTATTTCCCTATTGTTAAATGGTTCACTAACCTAAACCAATCACCCTAGACCTTGATCAACTTGGCATGCTGCGCATCTCAGCCTTTACACTAATCTGGTGGCTGGAAAACTCTGGGAAATTTCTGAGGCTTTGGTTATCAAAATTTCTCTCCAAGTGGCAGATGGGGCAAATTAGAAGAAAAAAAACCAGACCTCATTGTGCCTGACAAACCACAAGATGCTGGAAAATCGCAATTAAGAGAGTGGGGAGGGATTTTCCCACAGTGGATCCATACTGGGACAAGTGACAAAACCAAGGTGCGCCATGCTCTGTGGCAGAGTTAAGAAATACAGCCTAGATATTCTCATTCTAATCCTCCAATCATTCAACCACACTGATTTAAATGGTTTCATTTGGGACTCATTAGGCTTGTCTGTCTTAAGCCACCAGGAAGAAGAGATCTGAGACCTTGTTTCTTTTTCCTTATTGCAGAATGTCGATGTGTCACGAGATCCCGAAGAAGCCCTGGACACCGTTCCCAACCATTATTAGCCACACTGCTCAATAAAATATGAATTCAAAAAACTACTTTCCATTCTTCCATAGAGATACCAATATTAACACAGACCAGTATATAAATAAAAGTTAATATGCTACTGCTGAGCCAGCTGATAATGCATGGATTGATACAGGTCATGACCTATAAAGCCCTAAACGGTTCGGGCCCCGCCTATCTCCGCAATCACATCTCCTATGAACCGGTGCGAGCTCTAAGATCTGGGGAGGTCCTCCTCTCGGTCCCACCTCCGTCACAAGCAGTTGGTGGGGACGAGAGAGAGGGCCTTCTCGGAGGTGGCCTCCCATCTCTGGAACGCCCTACCAAGGGAAATAAGACAGGCCCCATCCCTCCCCTCCTTTCATAAGAGCTTGAAGACCTGGTGGTTTCAACAAGCCTTTGAAAATGACCAGTTCTAACTCAGTCTTACACATTGTTGAATACGTCCTTATTTTTCCTACCAATTACCCGGATCATTTCCTCTAATTGGCCTCAGAATGAACAGCCACAGACCCGTACCTAATATTATTGTTGCCTGCCATTGCATTGCACTCAATTCCTGGGGCCCCTAGAATTTTTGGGTTTGTACAAATCTTGGCCCGGCCTTTTAAATTTGTAATTGCCTTGAACAGACAGGATTACTTTTAATATATGTGTGACCGCTCCAGCTGGAGGTCAGCTGTGACCAGCAGTGCTGCAGATTTTGAAGAGGCACGAATGGAGGGCGAAAGGGAGAAGCGTGCCAAGAGGAAGGCGCGTCAAGCCAACCCCGACCGAGACCGCCTTCCACCTGGAAACGAATGCCCTCCCTGCGGAAGAAGATGCAGAGCAAGAATAGGGCTCCACAGCCGCATACGGACCCACAAGAATACTGGAAGACAATCATCTTCGGGAAACGAGGGATCGCCTAAGTAAGTAAGTATGGCAATTTTTATGTTTATATTTTTGTTTGTTAATCTTATGGTTATGTTGTTTTTACTCTGTATGTTTTGTGATATTACTTGGAAACAGCTCTGAGTCCCCTTGGGGAGATGGAGCGGTATATAAATAAATAAATAAATAAATAAATTATTATTATTATTATTATTATTATTATTATTATACAAGCGCCTGTCTCTTTAAAAGGAGACTCTGATATAGACCAGCCTTTGTTTACTGTCTATCAAGGAAGAAAAGAATGAAAAACAAACAGTATTTTTTAAAAAAATAAAGATGAAACACAATCTGGACAAACTTTACATGACTTTAATGGAAATTGATAAGCTACCAAAATGCATAACTTTGTCTGGATTGTGCCACTTAATTTTATTTTGTTTTAGCAAAAATACATTTCTTTGTGCCATCTGTAATGCTACAGGATGGCCATTAAATGCAGAAAAGTTGTATGTGAAAAGTATCCTTTACCTCAGTTCTATTCTCTTCACCATTACAAAGCATCAAGAAAAAAAGCATGGCTTTTCTCCTATAAAGTGGCTCTCCTGGCACTGTCCAGCAGTAGTCATGTCAGCTGGCTGTAGATGCTGCTTCTTCTGGAGATGTGGCTTCTTCTGGAGACTTTCCATAATCTCACATATCACCATCCCTAATGTCTTCCTGTACCACTGGCCTCGGCTTCAGCTTCATTGTACTGACTCTTCCAAGTTTCAGGTTTCTTCTTCTGCATCTAAGGTAGAAAAATGAGAGCACAATAATAAAAAAAAAACCAGAATGGAAAATACCGTATATTGTGGCATATAAGACGAATCCCAACTTTTCCAGTTAAAATATAGAGTTTGGGATATACTCGCTGTATAAGACTACCCCTCTTCCAACACACACCAAATAAAAAATGTAAAAGCATCAGATTTGATTTTAATATGGTAATTTTCCTATTACTGTACCTCCTTCTCTGCCTGTCATATCTCACACATGCGCACCTGCACCGCTTCACTGCACTGAGTGAGATCTGAGAGGCAGAGGAGGTACAGTAATAGATACAAAGGTGGGCCAGACAGGTAAAAGAGGTGTGTTTTTTTGGGCCCAGAGCCACTCTATCTCTTTTTTTCCATACTCCGGGCACCCAGGACGCCTGCCGCCCTTCACTTACACCTTCCTGGTGAGGCGCCCCTTCACCTCACCATCGGGACTGCATTAAGTCCACGAATCCTGATAAATGGATTTTCTTCTACCGTACTTTTACAGCTTCGCCCTTGATACTTTCATACAGTCGCTGCATATGGCAGGGACGCGGCCACTGCCATTTTTGAGCTCCCCCCACCATATGCAGCAACCACAGATTCTCCAATCCAGATTGGAAGCGTCAGCACCCGCTCTATAAAACGACTCCCGGCGTATAAGAATACTCCCGCATATAAGACGACTCCCATGCCTAAGGCTACTCCAGGGTATAAGATGACTCCAGGGTATAAGACGACCCCTGACTTTTGAGAATATTTTCTTGGGTTAAAAAGTAGTCTTATACGCCAGAATATACGGTAATAGAGGCCATGAAAATCCCCTTGACATTTAATAATAATAATAATAATCATCATCATCATCTTTATTTGTACCCCGCTACCATCTCCCCAAGGGACTCGGTGCGGCTTACATGAGGCCAAGCCTGAAGTACATCAAACAAACATCAATAACACAACATTAATAAACAATCAATAAAATACAAATCATATAAATCACATAACAAAAACAACAATCATATTAAAAATGGCCGGGCCAAATGTAATAGATTAAAATTGAAAATATGCTGACATGAACAGGTAAAATGTAACTGGGATAGGATTTTCAGAGAGAAACGAGGGAACGCAATCCATCCTAAGTCAGTATTAAAGTGCATTATGAGGGCATATTGCTGAAAGTGCATTATGAGGGCATATTGCTTATTTTGGGAAGGCACACTGGAACAACCACATTTGCATTTGCATTGAAGACACCAGCATAATGGAGGAGACTGGGGAAACTGTATGCAAAAGGCTCAGGCTATAAATCTATGCTGTTGCCACAGCAATATAGAACCTGTTAGACTGTGCACAGTTTAAGATCCCACAGTGGTTGCATTTTTAAGGGAGGAAAAGCTAAAATGTAAAATACCAAAAATGTTCTTGCCTTGTTTTCAACAAATAATAATAATAATAATAATAATAATAATAATAATAATAATAATTTATTTATACCCCGCCACCATCTCCTCGATGGGGACTCGGAGCGGCTTACATGAGGCCAAGCCCAAACAACAACTACAATAAAGAAAGACCGAAAACGCAAACCGAAAACGCGAACAATAAAGAACAACATCATAGTTACATAAAACATGTGAATACATAACAAAGTAAAAAAGATTACAATAAACACAGGCACAATGGGCGGGCTACATGTAATGATTAAAAGACTAACTGATTAAGACTAATTAAAAACTCGGGCGAGATAAAGGAAAGCAAGTTCTTTGCGAAGGAGGGCTCATTTCAGCGGGGGTTGTGGATACATCATCATCATCATATTTAATTACTTATTAATAGCTCTCCATCCAAGATGCTCTAGGTGATTTGTTGTTGTTCATTCGTTCAGTCGTCTCCGACTCTTCGTGACCTCATGGACCAGCCCACGCCAGAGCTCCCTGTCGGCCGTTACCACCCCCAGCTCCCTCAAGGTCAGTCCAGTCACTTCAAGGATGCCATCCATCCATCTTGCCCTTGGTCGGCCCCTCTTCCTTTTGCCTTCCACTTTCCCCAGCATAATTGTCTTCTCTAGGATTTGCTGTCTCCTCATGATGTGGCCAAAGTACTTCAACTTTGTCTCTAGTATCCTTCCCTCTAGGTGATTTACATAACAAAATTGTGCAGGATAAAATACATACATACAAATATTAATAAATTAACACAGATCAAATGCTCAGTAAAAAGCCAAGTCTTAAGTGCTAGAGTAAAAGGCCCTAAGTCACGTAAAACTCTCGTATAGGGAGGCAAGGAATTCCATAAGGCAGGGGCAGAAATAGAGAAAGCCCACAAGGGGGGGGGGGGGGGTGTATACTCCAATGACAGAGCTTTGGGGCTGAGCAATAATGTGAAATTATATACCTACTCACCAAAGGTGCAACGGAAGAGCCAGGTTTTAAGGTTCTTTTTAAAAGTTTCTAGGGTAGGGGCTTTCCTAATTTCTCCAGCCAGTGAGTTCCAGAGTTGGGGAGCCACAGTGGAAAAGGCTCTCTCCATTGTACTTACCAGGCGAGCTTGTGAAACTGGCAGCGGCGAGAGAAGGGCCTCCCCAGAAGATCGGATGGCCCGAGTTGGTTCATGGAGGGAGATACGGTCACGAAGGTAGGCGGGTCCCAAACCGTTTAGGGCAGTGGTTCTCAACCTGTGGGTCCCCAGATGTTTTGGCCTTCAACTCCCAGAAATCCTAACAGCTGGTAAACTGGCTGGGATTTCTGGGAGTTGTAGGCCAAAACACCTGGGGACCCACAGGTTGAGAACCACTGGTTTAGGGCTTTATAGGTGATAACCTGCACCTTGAATTGGGACCGGAAAATAAACAGCAGCCAGTGGAGCTCCTTAAACAGGGGGGTTGACTGTATGGTAGCCCAATCAGTGGATTTCCATGTCTGAGTCTGATCTCAAGAATTGTAGTCCAGTGCTCAAACCCCTTAACCAAGCTGGCTCTGGGGACCAAATTTATAAACACAGGCAAATTTCTTCAATGAATCCCAGCTCTAGAATCTGCGCTTTCTTCATGCAGACACTTTGGATCTTTTACAAGTAGAGACTTGGCAGAGATCTTGGCTACATCACATGGCAAACTCTACCAGGGTTTCTTGATGAAAAGGGAAAAAAAACTGGTTAAATCCTTCCCTTGATTGTCTGTTATCCTAAAGTATCTGATCAATACCTTTGCAACAAACAGGAGGATCTGCCTCTTAGATAACTCTTTTGCAGCTCGTGGTCCCCATCTGAATTCATACTCCGGTGGATCTGTGTGTGGGAGGCGAATGTACTCCAGGTACCTGGAAAGTGATATTTATTTACTTACTTATTTATTTATTTATTTATTGTATTTGTATACCACCCTTCTCAGACAATCGGCGACTCAAGGCGGTTTCCAACACATCAGTATACATAAAAACATAATATAGATTAAAACATTACACCTCAAAAGCAATAAAAACAACATAATTAGAGTCTCATTATTGTTAAGTATTGTCCAGTTCCGTTGTCAAATCATTTGATTTCCTATCTTAGCTACTCTGCATTTGTAAACACTTGCTCAAACAGCCATGTTTTTACTTGCCTCCGAAACATTAAGAGGAAGGGAGCAGATCTCCCTAGGGAGGGTGTTCCATAACCGAGGGGCCACCACTGAGAAGACCCTGTCTCTTGTCCCCGCCAAACGTACTTGTGACAAAGGTGGGACCGAGAGTAGGGCCTCCCCAGACGATCTTAAAGTCCTCGCTGGTTCATAAGGGGAGATACGTTCGGACAGGTAAGTTGGGCCAAAACCGTTTAGTTGGTCACTGCCATATTCCTTTGTAAAAACAAACCCTCTCCCAATCAGGAGAACAGAAGCAGAACATTTATCCAACTGAAAACCATTTGGTATCATCTCAAACAGAGGAAACAATCTTAGAAGCCTTCTAAAATGAACCACCAAAGTTCACCAATCGTATATAATAATCAGTTAGGGTATGTTTTAAAGTCATGTGTGCAGGGCTAAAGATTTCAGGCTCCTATGACCATCAGTATCACACTCTGGGCATATCAATCTATACAAATAAAAATGTAATGTTCGTTTGTGGGATTAACATAACTCAAAAACCACTGGACGAATTGACACCAAATTTGGACACAAGACACTTAACAACCCAATGTATGTCCTTCACTCAAAAAATTGCTTTTGTCATTTGGGAGTTGTAGTTGCTGGGATTTATAGTTCACCTACAATCAAAGAGCATTCCGAACCCCAACAACCATGGAATTGAGCCAAATATGGCACACAGGACTCCCATGACCAACAGAAAACACTAGAAGGGTTTGGTGGGCATTGACCTTGAGTTTGGGAGTTGTAGTTCAACTACATCCAGAGAGCACTGTGGACTCAAACAATGATGGATCTGGACCAAACTTGGCACGAATATTCCATATGCCCAAATATGAACACAGATGGAGTTTGGGGGAAATCGACCTTGACATTTGGGAGTTGCAGTCACTGGGATTTATAGTTCACCTACAATCAAAGAGCATTCTGAACTCCAGCAATGATGGAATTGAACCAAATGTGGTACACAGGACTCCCATGCCCAATAGAAAACACTAGAAGGGTTTGGTGGACACTGACCTTGAGTTTGGGAGTTGTAGTTCACCTACATCCAGAAAGCATTGTAGACTCAAACAATGATGGGTCTGGACCAAACTTGGCACGAATATTCCATATGCCCAAATATGAGCATAGATGGAGTTTGGGGAAAATAGACCTTGACATTTGGGAGTTGTAGTTACTGGGATTTATAGTTCACCTACAATCACAGAGCATTCTGAACCCCACAAACGACAGAATTGGGGCAAATTTCTCACACTGAATCCCCATGACAAACAGAAAATAGTTAAGGCCATCCAGTCCAACTCTCTTCACCAGGGCAAGAAAATGTAATCCAAGTTCTCCTGACAAAGAGCCATCCAGTCATAAATATAGATATATATGATTCAGACACACACAGATATAGTATCATAGATTTGAAAGGGACCCCTAAAGAAGGACAATTATATGTTCCATATTCCAGAGAAGGCAAACCAGACAATCTACACATCAACACTGACAAAGAAACAACAATACTGTTCACCCACAAGCACAAAGAAATTACATATATTAGAAACCAACACTTTCTAATTACTTTATTTTCCAGATCACCAGACTGGGCCACAGCAACGCGTGGCAGGGGGCGACTAGTGCTACATAAAACAGAAAATCCAGTTTTCATATATGCCTTAGGAAAGAAATTGATAAAAGTTTCAGTCCCTAAACAAGGGCAAAGTGACAGAGGCTAGCTCTCCAACATCTTACATTTCAACCCCAACTGTTTTCTTTAGAATGACATGCCTGCTCTTGATTCTCCAATACATTTTAGCCATTGGAAAAAGAAAAACACTACAGGCCAGTACAATGAATTCTGAATTTCTATTGCCCAACACTTTTAATAATAATAATAATACACTTTTAAATTAATGCTGTCCATTTCTGTTTTAGAAGGGGGAGGTATGCACAATCCTACAGAAGTTGTTGAATTCTCATTCCTAGCACCCGTCACTTTTGACTATGCTGGAGAAGGCTGGTAGAATTATACTAATATCCTACCATTATACACAGAAGGCTTTGTGAGACCTACTCACTTCTGTTTGACAAATTCGTCTGTCACCAGTTTCTTCACATCACCAAAGATCTTGTGTTTTTTCCTGGGGGAAAAAAACAACACAGCACCAGAATTATTTACTTCCGATACAATTCTCCCCAGCCCACCCACTGATGGATGTATTTCAGTTTTAGTTCTATGGGCAAGGTGCATCCACACTTCCCATCTCCATGCCTACCCCAACTTTTCTCAGACTAGCCAATACATACCCAGAGTATTCAAGTTGTAGTCTCCTTAGCATCTCCCAAACAACAGCTGGGTGGGGAGAGAGAGAAAAAATAAAAGGTTGGCAAGTGAGGCTAAAAAGGAAGTGAAATGAAGTAAATACAATTGAGACTTACTCTCTTTGACAACATTGCCCTTCATAAAAATAAGACTGAGAATGATTAGGAGGAGGCCCATCTTGGGGGTGTTTTCATCTCTGAAAGAGAAAAAGAGAATCAAGCTTCTGAATTTAGAACTGAACACTGGACTTGGTGATGTGAGAAGAACTAGGGCAGTGGTTCTCAACCTTCCTCATGCCACGACCCTTAAATACAGTTCCTCATGTTGTGGTGACCCCCAACAATAAAATTATTTTCCTTCCTACTTCATAACTGTCATTTTGCTACTGTTATGAATCGTAATGTAAATATCTGAAATGCAGGATGTATTCTCATTCACTGGACCAAATTTGGCACAAATACCCTATACGCCCAAATTTGAATACTGGTGGAATTGGAGGGGGTTGATTTTGTCATTTGGGAGTTGTAGTCGCTGGGATTTATAGTTCATTTGCAATCAAAGAGCATTCTGAACTCTACCAACAATGGAATTGAACCAAACTTGATACACAGAACTCCCATGACCAACAGAAAATACTGGAAGGGTTTGGTGGGCAGTGTCCTTTGGTTTTGGAGTTGTAGTTCACCTACATCCAGAGATCACTGTGGACTCATACAATGATGGATCTGGACCAAACTCTACACGAATACTCAATATGACCAAATGTGAACACTGGTGGAGTTTGGGGAAAATAGAATCTTGACATTTGGGAGTTCTAGTTGCTGGGATTTATAGTTCACCTACAATCACAGAGCATTCTGAACCCCACCAACGATAGAATTGGGCCAAACCTCCCACACAAAACCCCCATGTGGGCCACAGCAACGCGTGGCAGGGGACGGCTAGTAGGTATATAAAATAGGTATACAAATCAAACATTTCAAATCAGCATTTGAAAGACTTGTTAAACAGGCTGATCTTCCTTTTTATGAAATACAATTTGAAGCACCTTCTGCAAAGTCTACTGTAAACACTTCAAAACAGATTCATGTAAATGTCTAAAGCCACCACTAGGTGATGTTCAGAAAAATATGGGGGTCAGGTCTCACTGTTTAAAGAACAGTCCAATTTGAATGTCCTAGCCCTCTTCCCAAGCTTGTTTGAAACTCTATGGTTCTGAGCAGTTCCTGGTGCAGCGGGAAAGAAATAAATGTTAGCCTTTGAGGGAGAAATGTTGTTTTTGTGATAACAAACATACTTGGATGTGTGCTTGCAGGGACTTTATTCTTTGTTTCTGTTTTAGTAAATGCCAAATTAAAACATGCTGCTGCCCGCCTCCCCTCCTCCTTACTCTTTCATAACCTCATCTTGCAATGGTGGCAATTTACTGATCAGGATGTAGCTGTGATGCTTTGGATCAACCTCCACCAGTTCCAAGCCAAATACCTGTAAAAACAGTATATGAATATATTCAGAAAATAATCTAAAATGCCCTTCCCATCTTTCAATGAGAAAGTGCAACCAGACACATTTGAATAAATCATTTCTGTCACTTGCATAAGTTACTTCCTTCATAGAGAAGACAAAAATTGGATTGATATTTGGGTCAGCCTTGCAAGAAACCAATGCCCTGGATATAGATCTAGATCGCCTATGATTTTAATTTAACAAATTAAAAATCCCAGAAAAAGACAGGCAGACAATTTATGCAAAAGAGTCACCATTTTATTCTTATACACATTCAAGACAAGCCAAATCATGCCACAAAAACTATCACAGGCCTATATTTATCACTGGCATGGTCATGCGATTGCTGAACTGCACTTCCTAGCATTTATCATTAGCAATGCTGGCAAAAGCTGCTGGAAATTATAGTCCAACAAGATCTAGAGCAGTGCTTCTCAGCCTTCCTAATGCTGCGACCCCTTAATACAGTTCTTCATGCTGTGGCGACCCCCCAAACATAAAATTATTTTCGTTGTTACTTCATAACTAATAATAATAATAATAATATTTGTACCCCGCTACCATCTCCCCAAGGGACTTGGTGCGGCTTACATGAGCCCAAGCCCAAACACAACAATACAAGCAATAATCACAACAATACAAGCAATTAAAATAAGAACACAGACAATAAACATATAACATATAACATTATCAATAAGACAACATACAATTAAAACTGTGGGAAGGCCAAATGTAAAATTAAAATTGGAAATAGTGCTGAAGCATGGACGAAAAGGTGATAGTGCATAAAAATTGTCGCCATAACACACATATATTAAACGTAATCCTGCCTGTTCAAGGCAATTTTAAAAATTTAAAAGGCCAGGCCAAGATTTGTGCAAGCCCAAAAATTGTAGGGGACCCAGGAATTAAATGCAATGCTATGGCAGGCAACAATAATATTAGGTACGGGTCTGTGGCTGTTCATTCCAGGGCCGATTAGGTAGGAAGAATAAGGCCGTATTAGACAATATGTTAGAACTGAGTTAGAACTGGTCATTTTCAAAGGCTTGTTGAAACCACCAGGACTTTGAGCTCTTACGAAAGGAGGGATGGGGCCTGTCTTATTTCCCTTGGAAGGGTGTTCCAGAGGCGGGGGGGGGGGGGGGGGGCACCACTGAGAAGGCCCTCTCTCTCGTCCCCACCGCTCTTGAGACGGTAGGGGGACCGAAAGGAGGGCCTCCCCGGGAGATCTTAGAGTTCGTGCCGGTTCATAGAAGGAGATGCGATCGTGGAGATAGGCAGGACCCGAACCGTTTAGGGCTGTATAGGTCATGACCTGCACCTTGAATTTGGCTCGACAACTTATCAGCAGCCAGTGAAGCTGTTTTAATAGGGGTGTTGTAGTTCCTGGGATTTATAGTTCACCTACAATCAAAAAACATTCTGAATCCCACCAACGATAGAATTGGGCCAAATTTCCCACACAGAACCCCCATGACCAACAGAAAATACTGTGTTTTCCAATGGTCTTTGGCGACCCCTCTGACACCCCCTCATGACCCCCAGGTTGAGAAACGCTGATCTAGAGGACAACATGATTCCTCCTCTTGGCCAAAGTTAACTGAATGCTAGAGCAATCCATCTGCCCTCAACATATATCGTAGTGCCCTTTTCTATATAGTTTTTTAAAGCTTGCTCTTATCAGAACCCCATGTCAATATGGAAACCTCATGCTTATGCTTCCTTCATCACCTGCTGAAATATGTTGTTGGCACGTTTCAGAATCTCAGGGAAAATGTCCTTATAGTCTTTAATGACATGTTTTAGAATATCTGTAATGAGACAAGAGGGTCATGATTAGAACTATTTGGTAGTGGTTTGAAAACTGGACTACAATTCTGGAGACCTGGGTGTGATTCCCCGCTTGGCCATGGAAACAGAATGGATGACCATAGATGAGTCACACAATCTCAGCCCCAGAAAACTGTGATAGGTACATAACAATAATACTGAAGACAGAAAGAAAAATGTTTCAGCAGGGGTTTTATACTCAGAACAATCACAGAGTAATTAAGTGGGCAGACATCTTATTTAAAGCAAGTGCTCATGGTTGTAGTTTGGAATATGTGATCAAAGTCTGGGATCAGAAACCAGACAGAGCTGGGCAAAACATCCACTACTTGTTGAAGATACTCTATCTTCCTCCATCTAACCCCATTACCCTTTCTCTTCCTCCATTTCCCAATGAAACACCTAAGTCTTTGCTAAAAGGCCTTATATTCATTGAAAAACTGGACCTCGCAAGCCAAATAACTGGACTAGAGGTATATGCAAAACTATTTGATGTAACTTTAGAATTATTTTCTAGGGTGATAAAAATGAAATAAAATTGAAATCAGTCCTTTTCTTACCTGTCCGTTTAATAGGGATTTTCTTCTGATCTTTGACTAGGATAAATTGTACTAACTCGGTCACCTGTAAAAATGCAGACAGAGTCACACACATGTTGCAGTGCTGAACAGAATAAAATTTCTTTTGACTCCTAGCATTAAAATATATATAACAGTTGTTTTCTAGTGTTATGGCTGCAAAGATATGATTAAAAGCGTGTGGCCAATGCCTACTGAAATTTCAGAAGCTGAAGAACACTGCTTTAAGTGTTCTTAACATTCTCATAATTTTAAAACCAGGAATAAAATACGGAAATCTGTTTCATTAACATGCTTTATATGTTACATTGTTTATTTTGTGATTTTTTTAAAGCAATGAACTTTCATCCCAGACTGTAACTACTCATTAAACCAGGTCTCCTCTACCTGCGGCCCTCTAGGGCTTCTGGGAGTTGGAGGCTGAAATATTGGAGGGCTGCAGGTTGAAGTGGCCTGCATTAAACCAAGGCCCCAAAAGCAAATTCTCCCTCACTTTGTGTTCCACTTGTTTCTGTGACCGTCGTTCCAAGTTGCGCTGCACCTGGCTGGATGTCAGAGTTTGCGTCAATGTGTATTCTTCATCTACATCCATGGACTGTACCTGGGGAAATAAAAGATTTTTTAAAAAATACCTGATGTTGAGATCCACCAGGCAGATATGCCTGCTCTGATCTTCCCCTACTCATCTGGCGGAACACGCACTCTCTGGTTGCATCTACATTGTAGAATTAATGGAGTTTGACACCATTTAAACTGCTATGGAATCATGGGACTTGTGGTTGTACAGTACAAGCTCTTCACTGTTGCTGCCAAACAGTGCTGGTACCCCACCAAACTACCACTCCTATGATTTCATGGCATTGAGACATGGCAGTAAAATCTGGTGTCGAACTGCATTAATTTTACAGTTTAGATTAATTGTTTGTCTAGCTTGAGGTGAGGAGTATTCAGCCCTCCGAATGTTGATGAATTGCCATTCCCATGTTTATACCTCACAACTGGCCAGGTTAAATAGGAAATATCTGAAGATCTACAGCAGGGGTCCTCAAACTAAGGCCCGGGGTCATGGCCCTCCAAGGTCATTTACCCTTGCTCAGTGTCAACCTAAGTCTGAAACGACTTGAAAGCACACAACAACAACAACAACAACAACAACAACAACAACAACAGCAGTCCTATCTCATCAGCCAAAAGCAGGCCCAAACTTCCCATTGAAATACTAATAAGTTTATCCAAACTTTTGGACAACAATTCACAAGCACACCCAAAGTATTCTTAAGATAAAATTCGAAATGAATCCAGAATATTATTTGTTGTGCATAATGGAAAAAGAAATTTTCTTTTTACTTATCAGCGGCGGCGAGAATAATGATCGCGAAGAAATGGAAAATTAGAGAGACTCCCACACTGGAGGCCTGGCTTTCCAAAATAGTGGAATACATGAACATGGATAGGCTGTCACCCCTCCTCAAAAATCAGAAAAATAAAAGCCAAACTAACTGGAGCCAGCTCAAACTGTATTTACAAGAAAAAATGAAACTAAATATTTAAATCACGATATAAGATGTACAAGCAAATAGCAAAGTCAGTCGGTAGCGATCGACTAAGGAATTCTTTTTTTCTCTTTATAATTTGAGATATCTCTGTGGAATGAACTGGAAGTTACCAATGCTTCGTCCACCCCCCTTCCCTCCCCCCTCCCAACTCATCCTCCCCTTTTCCCTTCCCAATTCATTCCCTGGCTAAACCTCCCCCCTCTCCCTTAACCACTTTCCTTACCAATCCTGTTTACCCTTCCGCTCCCTATTGTTTCCTACTTTCCTATTATCAGATTGTTCCCCCTCTTTGATTGTTAACTTCTAAAAAGCTAATAAAAACAAATAAAAAAGAAATACTAATAAGTTTATAATTGTTAAAATTGTTCTTCATTTTAATTATTGTATTATGAGGCAATCCTCATTCTCAGCCTAAATCCACTTTCCATGGCTTAGAGGGAATTTGAACCTTTCGATATCATAGTTCAGTGGTTCCCAACCTTTGGTCCTCCTAGTGTTTTGTACTTCAACTCCTAGAATTCCCAGCCAGCTTACTGGAGGACTACAGTTTGGAAATTACTGTTCTGGCTCTACGCTCCAACCACTATACTTTACTGGCTCGCAAAACAAATCTTTCCTATGTAACAAAAATTGAAAGTGTTATTTCCTGTTGAACTGTGCAGTACTTACTTTGAAAGCTCTTCTACTCCAGAAACTTCATTTTTGTGGCTGCCACAAACTATGTTGAATTGGTTGAGACTCTATGCGATATTCATTGAAAAACTCTAACAAAATGTGCTGCAGGATATCCCACAATCACAAAGTTTTTGCAGTGTAATAAACTGTTCGATGTTTTTGTAATAGAACCAAACAGGAAATGACACTCATAACACAGGAATAAAAATTGTGTTACATATTGTAATGAGAGTCGAACCTGTTAAAAACCAAGTCCTAACCACTTAAATGTATGAGAAGGATGCATTAAGTGAAGTGTGTGCAGTTGAAAATACTACAAGTGTTTTGTACTAGGATATCACACCTAAATACATGAAAGATCTAGCTTCATCTTCTCTGTCCTGTTTTTTCTCTCAGTAAAAACCTGTACATATGGTAAGTAGTGCATTAATTTTATGGGGTCAGGATAAACCACACGTGAAAAACAACTGACACACCTTGTGTTGTTTGTAGTCATCTAGTTTCTTTTATTGACTATTCTAAAGCCTTTGACTGTGTGGATCATAATAAATTGTGGCAAGTTCGTGGTGGGATGGGCATACCAAGCCACCTTGTCTCTCTCCTGAGGAATCTGTACAAGGACCAAGTAGCAACAGTCAGAACTGACCACGGAACAACAGACTGGTTCAAGATTGGGAAAGGCGTACGGCAAGGCTGCATCCTCTCACCCAACCTTTTTAACTTGTATGCAGAACACATCATGCGATGTGCGGGGTTGGATGAATGCAAAGCTGGGGTGAAAATTGCTGGAAGAAACATTAACAACCTCAGATATGCAGATGCCACCACTCTGATGGCCGAAAGCGAGGAGGAGCTGAGGAGCCTTCTAATCAAGGTGAAAGAAGAAAGCGCAAAAGCCGGGTTGCAGCTAAACGTCAAAAAAACCAAGATTATGGCAACAAGAATGATTGACAACTGGAAAATAGAGGGAGAAACCGTGGAGGCCGTGACAGACTTTGTATTTCTAGGTGCAAAGATTATTGCAGATGCAGACTGTGGCCAGGAAATCAGAAGACGCTTACTTCTTGGGAGGAGAGCAATGTCCAGTCTCAATAAAATAGTAAAGAGTAGAGACATCAGACTGGCAACAAAGATCCGCCTAGTCAAAGCCATGGTATTCCCTGTAGTAACCTACGGATGTGAGAGCTGGACCTTAGGAAGGCTGAGCGAAGGAAGATCGATGCTTTTGAGCTGTGGTGTTGGAGGAAAGTTCTGAGAGTGCCTTGGACTGCGAGAAGATCCAACCAGTCCATCCTCCAGGAAATAAAGCCCGACTGCTCATTGGAGGGAAGGATACTAGAGACAAGTTGAAGTACTTTGGCCACATCATGAGGAGACAGCAAAGCCTAGAGAAGACAATGATGCTGGGGAAAGTGGAAGGCAAAAGGAAGAGGGGCCGATCAAGGGCAAGATGGATGGATGGCATCCTTGAAGTGACTGGACTGACCCTGAAGGAGCTGGGGGTGGTGACGGCCGACAGGGAGCTCTGGCGTGGCTGGTCCATGAGGTCACGAAGAGTCGGAGGCGACTGAACGAATGAACAACAACAAGTTTCTTTTAAGAGAGGAAAGCGGGATATAAATAAATAAGACAATAGTAATACCTGAGAAGGGCCAGGTCCTTTACTACTACGCCTGCTCTGTGACATCTTTCTGATGAGATATCTGTAAAGGACAGAGAGAAAAAGGTCAGATGATTTATTTAGTCATATTTATACCCTGCCTTTCTCTACCCCAGCAGAGGGACTCAAAGCAGTTTACAATGGCACATACACAGTACCTCAAAACAACAAATTCGCCATAAAATAGTTTAAAATTGCAATATATTTAAAATGGTTAAAATACACTCAGAGTTAAAAACACGCCATCCAAAGTTCATTCCTTGGTGAAATTGAACATAATTCTATATTTGGAATACTGCATTGTCCTAATTTTCAAAGCCTGCTTCCAGAGCCAGGTTTTGACTCTCTTCCTGAAGGCTAGTAGGGAGGGGGCTGATCTGATGTCGCTAGGGAGGGAGTTCCAAAACCAAGGGGCCACCACTGAGAAGGCCGTCTCTCATCCCCACCAGCCGAGAGCAGGGCTTTCCCCAGATGATCTTAGTTTCCAAGCTGTTCGTAGGGGAAATATATGTTCGGACAGATATCCTGCTGATGGGGAAATCGTGTCTATTTCTGTCTCTCAGCCAACATATTGATTTTAAAGTCCTAATCGATTCCTGAAACCAACATTAAAAACTGGAGCCCCCTTCCCCTCCCACAGACTAGGCTTCTCGAGTTGGTTTTAAGCCCCTCGCTTGCTAAATTTCAACCCAGGAGCAACCATGTTCAAATATGTAAGACCAGCTAGTTCTGGAAATTTAGAGTTTATCCACACTGTAGAATGAATGCAGTTTGGCACCATTTTGGCTGCCATGACTCAGTGCTATGGGCTCATGGGAGCTGTAGTTTGGTGAGGCACCAGCACTCTTTCATAGAATCCTAGAGTTGGAAGAGACCTCATGGGCCATCCAGTCCAACCCCTTGCCAAGAAGCAGGAATATTGCATTTAAAGCACCCCTGACAGATGGCCATCCAGCCTCTGTTTAAAAGCTTCCAAAAAAGGAGCCTCCACCACACTCCAGGGCAGAGAGTTCCACTGCTGAACGGCTCTCACAATCAGGAAGTTCTTCCTCATGTTCAGATGGAATCTCCTTTCTTGTAGTTTGAAGCCAGAAAACAAGCTTGCTCCCTCCTCCCTGTGACTTCCTCTCACATATTTATATTCATTTATTTATTTATTACAATTACTTTTACCCCACCCTTCTCAACCCCCTAGGGGGGACTCAGGGCGGCTTACAAAAAAGGCACTATTCGATGCCTACATAGAGTACATATACATATAAAACAACAATCAGCATTTATCACAATTAAACAGTTAACAATAACACCATCATTAAAAACTAATCACAAACTCAGCATGCATTGTCCAGATTCCCTTAATTCCATTGCGTATGTCAATTCCATTCTATCGCCACGTCCTTTTTCAGTTGACAGGTTGTCTGAATGCCTGATCTAAATTCCCCCTGGGAGTGAGTTCCACAGGTGAGGGGCCACCACTGAGAAGGCTATCATATACATGGCTATCATATCTCCTCTCAGCCTTCTCTTCTTCGGGCTAAACATGCCCAGCTCCTTAAGCCGCTCCTCATAGAGCTTGTTCTCCAGACCCTTGATCATTTTAGTCGCCCTCCTCTGGACACATTCCAGCTTGTCAAGATCTCTCTTCAATTGTGGTGCCCAGAATTGGACACAGTATTCCAGGTGTGTCCAATTGACAGTGAAGACCTTGTAAAACTACAACTCCCAGAGCATTGAGCCATGGCAGGCAAACTGCATTTATTCTATGGTTTAGAGCAGGCCTGCACAACTTGTAGCTCTCCAACTCCAGCTCCCAGAAGCCCTTGCCTGGCTGTTCAATGGTTTGAGGCCTGCTCTAGATGCACCCAAGGCTTCTAGTTTTACAGGGACTTTAGTTGCTTTGCCACAATTATTATTATTATTATTATTATTAACTTTATTTGTACCCCGCTAGCATCTCCCGAAGGACTCGATGCGGCTTACACAGGCCGAAGCCTCAAAACACAATACAGTAAAACATAACACACAATAACAAAGCAAATCAACAAAAGCAAAATAACGACAATGGCAATACATCAAAACATTATTAAAACTGGTTCGGCCGGCGCACTGGGGTACTAGGGTTAAAAGTGCTGAAATGGCAGGAGGCACGTAGGTTTAAAAGTGCGGTGTGCAGCAACGGTTTGTTAAACTAAAGTGCTACTAGGACTTGGGTGGGGATTCCTAGTCTGGGAAAGCACAACGGAACAGCCAAGTTTTTAAATTCCTTCTAAAAACGGCTAGAGTAGGGGCCTGTCTGAGATCTTTTGGAAGGGCGTTCCAAAGTCGGGGGGCCGCCACAGAAAAGGCCCTGTCCCGTGTCCCCACCAAGCGCGCTTGCGACGTGGGTGGGATCACGAGCAAGGCCTCTCCAGATGACCGAAGCGAGCGTGCGGGTTCGTAGATGGTGATGCGGTCACGCAGGTAGGGTGGTCCCAAACCGTTTAGGGCTTTGTAGGTGAGCACCTGCACCTTGAATTGGGCTCGGAAAATAAATGGCAGCCAGTGGAGCTCCTTAAACAGAGGGGTAGACCTCTCTTGATAATGAGCCCCAGTTAGCATCCTGGCTGCTGCCCGCTGAACCAATTGAAGTTTCCGAGCCGTCTTCAAGGGCAGCCCCACGTAGAGCGCATTGCAGTAATCCATTCTAGAGGTGCTTGGGCCTCGCCAGACTACAAATCCCAGGATACCATCCCACTGAGACATAGCAGTATTGTCCTGACTGCATCCCAACCCTCCAACAACTTGCCTAAATGCCCAAAGAGCCACTTTCCCGCCTTCCTACTCGCTGATACTAACCACCAGGGCTGCCGCCGGTTTGCGCATGCGCACGCTCTATCACCCGGACTTCCTAGTGCGCATGCTCCTTCGGTGATAGAGGAAGTTCTGATTAGTTTTTTTTCCCTCCTGAGAGGTTCGCCAGTGCGCATGCGCGTTTTATCTGCAGACCCTGACAAGGAAAATGGCGGGAGAAGGTGGGAATGCTGTCTCTCCTCATAAATCACTCAGTTTGAGCCTGGCATAAGTTTCATATATAAGGGCATTTTCTGCCTTTTCATACGCTGTGGGTGGAGGAGAAAAAAATGGTCACATATTGTTACAGCGCTATTCTATTAATTGCCATGGCAACCACCTGGGATTTGTAGTTTGGAGCGGGACCCTGGCAAAACTACAATTCTCAGAATTTCACAGCATGTTCCCCGTGGCAGTTACGGGGTCTTTATGAATGGAAAACGAAAAATAGAGATATATTGCTAGTTCCCTAAATTGATATAAACAATAGGAACATTTTACCTAAATACAGGGTGAGGCAGCATAACTTCATTCTCCATACACTGAGTAAACTGATTTCTGGCGTTTGTCATGACTCTTGCCAGCGTTATGTTGACAATTTTTTCCTGGATGTTGGTCTTCACGTCTTGTAGGGTCCATGGACGGTTCACATAAACAGGATTTCAAAACACCCACAGAAAAAAATCACAAGGGGTCAAATCTGGAGAGCGGGCCGGCCACTCCAAATCCGCTCGAAAAGTAGGCCTCAACGGCAAAAGCACACTCCTCGCTGTTCCAACGCATGATGGCGACTGAACTGTGTCAGGACAAAACTTTATACTCCCGTCTCTTGAACGAGACCACTAGCGCTCTGCTACGTCTTTAACCGACTGAATGGCGCGCATTTTTTAAAAAGTTATGCAGCCTCACCCTGTATATAAAATTATGGAAGCAACCAACTGTACCAATGACAGATGGTTGGATTCCAAATGTTTTTGAAATGGCTGAAGTGGACAAATTAATTTTACAACAAACTAATTTGCACAAACGGCAAGAAGAATGGAAACCTTTGATGGACTTTGTAAAAAATAGTAACAGGATTTGTGAACTACAAATAATATATGACTTACTTAGGCGATCCCTCATAGTCTGAGGATGATGGTTCTCCAAGTGTAGTATCTTGAGGGTTGGTCCGTCGGTGACTATGGAGCCCTATTCTTGATCTGCATCTTCTGCAGTGAGGGCATTGGTTTCCAGGTGGAAGGCGGTCCCGGTCGGGGTTGGCTTGACGCACCTTCCTCTTGGTACATTTTTCTCTTTCGCCCTCCATTCATGCCTCTTCAAATTCTACAGCACTGCTGGTCACAGCTGACCTCTAAGTGGAGCGCTCCAGGGCCAGGGCTTCCCAGTTCTCGGTGTCTATGCCAGAGTTTTTAAGGTTGGCTTTGAGCCCATCTTTTCCTGCCCACCAACATTCCTTTTCCATTCTTGAGTTCGGAGTAGAGCAACTGCTTTGGGAGACAGTGGTCAGGCATCCGGACAACATGGCCAGTCCAACAGAGTTGATGGCAGGGTACCATCGCTTCAATGCTGGTGGTCTTTGCTTCTTCCAGCACGCTGACATTTTTCCGCTTGACTTCCCTAGAGATTTGCAGGATTTTTCCGAGGCAGCACTGATGGAATCGTTCCAGGAGTTGCATGTGACATCTGTAGATAGTCCACATCTCGCAGGCATATAGCAGGGTTGGGAGGACAATAGCTTTATAAACAATCACCTTGGTATCCCTATGGATGTCCTCAAACACTCTCTGCTTCATTCGTAAAAATGCTGCACTCGCAGCACTCAGGCAGTGTTGAATTTCAGTGTAAATGTTGACTTTGGTGGAGAGGTGGCTGCAAAGGTAGCGGAAATGGTCAACATTTTCTAATCTTACACCATTAAGCTGTATCTCTGGCATTGGAGAGGGATTGGCTGGTGACTGCTGAAACAGCACTTTGGTTTTCTCGATGTTCAATGACAGGTCGAGCTTCTCATATGCTTCTGCAAAGGTGTTTAGAGTGGCTTGTAGGTCTTCTTCTGAATGTGCACAGACAACATTTTCATTAGCATACTGGTGTTCTATAACAGATGTTGTTGTAACCTTGGTTTTGGCTTTCAGTCTGCTGAGGTTAAGTAGCTTGCCATCCGTCCCATAGATGATTTCCACTCCGGTGGGAAGCTTCCCATCAACAAGATGAAGTATCATAGCGATGAAGATGGAAAATAAGGTTTGAGGCAATAACACATCCCTGTTTGACACCTGATTCCACCTTAAATGGGTCACTTTGGGAGCCATTGCTGTCCAAGACTGTTGCTATCTGTCCCATAGACAGATAGCATCATGGAGGAGCTGCAGGACGTTCACAAATTTGTTAGGGCACCCGATTTTTTGGAGGATGGTCCAGAGAGTGTTGCGATTCACTGTGTTAAATGCCTTTGCAAGGTCAATGAATGCCATATACAGAGGTTGATTTTGTTCCCTGCCGTTCTGGGATTCTGGGAGGGTGTCTTCTGAGAGGGGTAGAAGGCGGTTTGCAAGGATTCTTGCGAGGTTTTTCCCAGTGGAGTTTAGAAGGGAGATACCTCGATAGTTTCCGCAGTCTGTTCTTTATAATATATGAATGGAGCCACTGATAGAGCGGCAGGTTAAGCCGCTGAGCTGCTGAACTTGCTGACCAAAAGGTCAGTGGTTCGAATCCGGTGAGCGGGGTGAGCTCCCATCGTTAGGTCCAGCTTCTGTCAACCTAGCAGTTTGGAAACATGTAAATAAGAGTAGATCAATAGGTAGGAAGATAAAGGCGCTCCATGCAGTCATGCTGGCCATGTGACCTTGGAGGTCTCTACGGACTTATTTATTTATTTATTTATTTATTTATTTGCTATACTTGTATACCGTTGTTTCTCAGCCTAGCCGGCGACTCAACGCGGTTTACAACAAAATACAACAGTCAACAGTATACAATTTAAAACCATAAAAGCATAATACACAACAACAAAACTCAAAACCCCCCAACGAAACTTAACCAAAATTCCCATGCCCATAACACAACCCACAAGGTACAAACATATCTACTCAAAATGAAAAACAACACAACAACACACTCACAAAACGGCAAAACAACTGAGCATGCGCATTGGCGCCCAGCTGCAAGTTCCCTGGCGCGCGCACACAGCCTTCCGGCCAACGTTCCCTCTGCGGAAGCCATGCCCACTCCAAGCCCGCCGCGCCGCTTCCCGCACACACACACCCCCTGCCTCACACACACACACAACGCCACGCTCCATCACTCCCCCCGCCGCTGCACACACACACGCAACCCCACTCCCCCACCGCTGCACACACACCCGCAACCCCACTCCCCCCGCCGCCGCACACACACACGCAACCCCACGCTCCATCACTCCCCCCACTGCCGCACACACACACGCAAACACACTCCATCACTCCCCCGCTGCACACACACACGCAACCCCACTCCCCCTGCCGCACACACACACACCGCCACGCTCCATCACTCCCCCCGCCGCTGCACACACACACGCAACCCCACTCCCACTCCCCCGCCGCCGCACACACACACGCAACCCCACGCTCCATCACTCCCCCGCCGCTGCACACACACACGCAACCCCACGCTCCATCACTCCCCCCCGCCGCCGCACACACACACGCAACCCCACGCTCCATCACTCCCCCCCGCCGCCGCACACACACACGCAACCCCACTCCCCCCGCCGCCGCACACACACACCAACCCCACGCTCCATCACTCCCCCCGCCGCCGCACACACACACACAACCCCACGCTCCATCACTCCCCCCGCCGCCGCACACACACACAAAGAAAGGGGAGGGAATGAAGGAAAGAGAGAAGGATGAAACCAAGTAGTGAAAGAAAGAAAGAGTAGAGAAGGAAGAAAGGAGAGAAAGGGGGAGGAAAAGGGGGAAGGAATAGGTAGGGACCTCTCTTTCATAATAGTCCAGATATCTACCTCAACTTTGATAAGTTTTACTATAGGCCACAGCAACGCGTGGCAGGGCACAGCTAGTACAATTTAAAACCATAAAAGCAAATACACAATATTGGCACATCAGTAACAATCCAATGCATCTCCTGACTAAAATCGTGATCCAGTTTCGTCGTCCATATTACCAATGCCAGCTCTTCAGCTTAGAAATGGAGATGAGCACCACCCCCAGAGTCGGACATGACTAGACTTAATGTCAGGGGAAATCTGAACCTTTAATATATTATTATGTGTTGTTGAAGGCTTTCATGACCAAAATCACTGGGTTGCTGTGAGTTTTCCGGGCTGTATGGCCATGTTCCAGAAGCATTCTCTCCTGACATTTCACCCACATCAATGTTTCTGGAACATTGCCACACAGCCCAGAAAACTCACAGCAACCCAATATATGAATATATTCTGTATCCTAAAACTCAAAATATTATCAACACCCTTCCCCCACCCCTAATAAAAATATTTATAGTTAGGGATTTATAGTTTTCCAAGAGCAGCAAGCCAGAATGAGATGCAGCTGCGTCCTCCCTTTTGCATAAAACCCAGGCTTTCCACTAGTCTCTCTCCTCTATATAAACTATATTTTATCCCACTTTTATTCCTATAAATCTATTAAATGGGTTCTATTTTACTTCTGGGACAGAAAAACATTAACCTTTACCTGTCAGGAAGCAAATGATCCAACTATTGATCCAACTATTGAGAAATGACCCCAAAGTGTGGCTCAAAACAAAGGAGTCCCTGATCATTTCTACATTCTCTATGTGTGCTGGCCTGGAAAAAAGGAAATCTACATATGCTTATCATCTTCAGGCTTAAACATCCAAAGAGAAAAATCAGTAACTACCACATTTGTATCCATTCATTGCTGTACAATTTTTATCCTTTTATATAATGTATCTATTTCCCAAGTCTGAAATATATAAACTGTACTTTTATTCTACCTTATTCTTAAAATGTAAATGGTTTAACTGCCTGGCTCACACACAGCTATTAACCTGCTATTAACTTCTGCACCAGCTGCGCCCGTACCTTGGGAAAT